GACACTTAGGTGATTATAGAGGAATTTCAACCCATCAAAATTGTTACTCCAGAACTTGAATTCATTGGATGACCTGGATTGGTCACCCCAACCGACTTCGCGCATAAAAAAAGGAAATATCTCATTCAGGCCTACAAGCCTCGTTTCTTATCAGAGTTTTCATAGCCTTTGGGGATCTTGGGCGAGCCTCTTCTGAGGTGAAAAGGGGGTAACTTAAGGACCAGGACATTTGAGACCGTCTTACTCAGAATTAACTACCTTTTCTTCAATACCCGAGTCTCCAAGCCGGACAGGTCCGACTTGGTAGTAGCTTGGTCGGTTGCACGCCTCGCCGCCCAAGCCTTCAACATCAACTTCTTCTGCTCTATCAATGATAAATTTGTTATTTTCTATGTGGAGAAGAAAGGAAAAATGTTAGAAGAATAAAAAGGGTTACCCCGAGAATGTAACAAGTAAGAAATGCAAAAAATACCCAGAAAAGAAAGAATTTGTTCTTCGGGTAATGACAACAGATCCCAGGCTTTCATCATGCAAAAAATATCTAATATAACTAAAGATTTTATTTCTTAATCATTCAATTTATCCAAGTCAAAATTGAACACTGAAAGTGGATTTCTGGTCTAATAGATAGAAAAAATGGTGGGATCCATCTAAGGCATATAATACTTGGGGACACCTTGGGCGACATTTAATCTGAAGGAACCGATCTTTAAAACCTTTATAGTTGGAGGTAAAATCTTGAAGAAAGCTCTTGCTTGGAAGGCCTCTAATTGTCACCCATCCCTCTTTTTCAACGCCTTTGATTTCAAAAAAGGATAAAGACAAACCTACGGTAAGTTCTATATTTATGGCCTCACAAACTATTTCGAAGACTTTTATAAATCCCCAACTATTGGGACAAAGTTGGGAAGGGGCGGTACTCAAAATCTTTAAAAAATCGGATTCGAAGTCAGTGAAGGGAAGTTGGTCTTTAAGATCTTCCAAGACCCCAACATAAAAATGAAAATATCCCTCTTTAACTCCTTTGGAGTAACTATACAAACGCATTCCCCAAGAATGCAAGGTTCCAAAATAACATCATCTTCGTTCCTAGTGGATGAGACATTTCTTAAGGAACGGAGTTTGGCAATCTCAAAATCATCAACAAAACTATTGTCATAACTCATTGCTTCCGCACCAAACGAGTCTATAATCTCTATCAACACATCTACCGAGGAACCTGATGAAGATGATTCGGAGTCAGAATCACTAAAAGAAATAGAAATGTTAATGTAAGTCTCTCTTACAATGCGATCAAACTCAGTTTGTGTCAAAGTATCCCTATGACCTCTCACATGAAAATCCCAAAGATCTTTTATTTCTCAAGCACTCAGGATTCTCGGCATATTGGTATCATCATTACATGCATCAGTAATATCCATTTAAAAAGCACAAAACAAAGAAATGAAAGTAAGTATACCTAACCTTGATGAGGGATTGAAAATTTTGAAATTTGCTTCAGAAGTGATAAAGAAGTAGGGATACGAATATGTAACTTCAATGAAGGTGAAACCCCTTTAAAGACCCAAGGAATTTAAAATGTTAGGGATCCCTAAAAGGATCAAATTCCCATAAAAAGTCATCATTGCTGAGATAAAAGAAAATCTGGCAAAAGATACACTATGACACACCACTAAAAGAAAGTACAGAACACAAGGAGGCCGAGAGGACATTTGTGGATCAGAACATGTGTGAGAAAGGAATTTTTGAGTTTTACTATGTCCGAGCATACAGTCCTCCGGGCTTCATGCTCGGGGGGCTTATGTACATCCCAGAAATTATGTTAACCAACCGAGATACGAACCTGATAATGTCGAGCATAGTAAGAATGTCTAGTCGGAAGATCATGTGCCCACTTATAATTCAGATCCCGGTTAAGAATAACCGAATAAAACAAGGATGAGCCAACCTTGCATGAATCGAGAACTTACTCGACCATACATAATAGAACAACTATAAAGCTCAGATGCCACATCAAAGGACACAAGGTACAATTATGAAAAAACACATTATAATTGGAGAGTTGAAGAGACAAACATTATGAGAATAATAGCGGCAGACGTTACAAAGAGATGTACCAGTAAAGGAAGACCTATAAATAAGGAGTGATTGAGAAACACATAAGACAACCAATACACAGTACTTATACACAAAACATGCACCTTAAACCATTCATTTAAGACTCTTCTCGAGCAATAATAAAAAAAGTCAACTTTTTAGTGTTGTTTTAACAAAAACACACTGTCCTGTAAATGTAATATTTATTATATTTTTAATATAATGTATATACAATCATATTATCATTTAATTTACAAAGTCTATTATTACAAACTTAGAGGCTGCATTTTATTTAAGGCGAGCAGTGCATCTGATTGGATCAATTCTGGAAACACGCATACCTATACTTTTTTAAAATATTATCATATTCAATTAAAAAATTTTAGCCGTAAATCAAAATGGTGGATTCTTGCATTTAAAAAAGTTTTAAAATAAGACATTTTTGTATTATTTAAAGAAAGTGGGATATTTAAGTATTTTTTCTTGGAAAAGGTTGTTATCGGAGAAAAATATTCCGATTTGTCTAAAGAAGATATTTTATTTATAGGCAATCTAAAGAAGATACATCTTAAATATAACTATTGCTTAAACCAAAAAAGAAAAGAAAAAGACGATAACTATTGCTCTACCGATGAGCTAAATCCTACTCATTTTAATTCCAAAATGACTATTTTATGTTGCCACATTTAAAATGACAAATTTACTTTCCTTAAAATAAATATAATGACAAAGGACCACGTCAAAAGAGTAGGCAGAGCGGTGTGGAACAATTAAAAAAAGTGGACAAAGTTGTAAAATCCTATAGTGGGTCAGAAAAAGGCAGTGTGATACGCGTCTCCATAATGTCCATAATATTCAATTTGCATTACCAATTTGCATTGTCAATTTGCAATTACCAATCTCAACCTCATAACCAACCCTTTACAAAATCCCATCCACATTTTTCTCTCAAATCTCAATAATCTCTTCTTCAACCAACAACCACAACCACAACCAAAAACTCTTTCGTTTCTCTCATATGGCTCACAAAATTACCAAAAAAGAAGAAACCGAATTCAAAGTTCCTGAAACCATCACACCATGCATCAACCCTCCAACAACAACTACAGCCACAACCACCGCCATAGCCACGGTAGCAGAACCGTCTAGATTTTTTGAAGACAACTCCACAGCCAGATCCGCCACGTCATCACGTTCTCCGAAAAGATCTCATCCTAGCGACGATGATTTAAAAGTCCAGCCCCAAACGACGTCGTCAGAAGCTAAACGATCTGTTAACCGTTGCTCCGGTTGTCGAAAGAGAGTCGGTCTCACCGGATTCCGTTGCCGCTGCGGTGATCTTTTCTGCTCCGAGCACCGTTACTCCGATCGTCATGATTGTTCCTACGATTACAAAGCGGCCGGACGGGAAACTATTGCCAGAGAAAATCCTGTTGTGAGAGCAGCAAAAATCGTTAAGCTCTGAATCGGAGTATTTCAACGGTTAACCGGAAATGGTTAATCGGAAAAATCTCCAAGAGATCGCCTTGGAAGCTTTGGAAAACACGAAAAAGATAGCTCCGATCACGATTAGATTGATTATTCTCGCTTCTCTTTCTCGTAGATGCGCTTCGAAACAAACAGCACTTTCAATTTTTTTTTAGTAATTTCTAAATTTTCTTGTAATTTTATTTAGTTTGGATTGAAAATTTATAAATTAATATTGGTTACGTGATGTTGTGAACGGTTTTGGTTTGTTTCTGGTGTATTTTATGTTATCGTGATTCTTACCGGAAAGGGTTCACGGATGGATTGGGGTGTTTAAAGTAATTTCAATGGGTTGTTAGGGTATAGTTGTCAATTAGTGTTGTACTTTGAATTTGATGTTTTCGTGAAGTGTGATGAAAGATGATGGAAAAGTTGGCTGGCTGGACCAACTTGATTGGACATGTGGCGATTATTTCGAGATGAGAAATAGTCACGAGATTTTGAGTTTGCGTGTTTTTATATTTTAATCTCGCGATAATGGAACAATGGTATTTTGAGAGCCAATAGGGTTGTGACAGGTGTGATATCACGTCTTGTGAATAGAATATTGGCTCTTTATATTGCTTTATTAGAAGGGAAATGTGGGAGGAATCTCGAGGGAACGTCATAGAATTTGGTGGGGATGCCATTGGATATGTGGTACGTTTTGTGGTGGATGTCGTTTTGTATCTGATTTGAATTTATACCACGCTATAAAGGGAATACTCCCTCCGTCTTAGGATTAGTGTCTCTAAAATAAAATAAGTGTCTCTAAAATAGTCTTAAAATAAATAAGTGTCTCTAAAATACAGTAGGTCGTTTAAGATTTTTCTCAAAGATTAATAAAAAATAATAAAGTTTGTAATAAAGGTATCAATTTTACTAAACTAACCTCATTATTTATTTATTTTAATATTCAAGTATAATACACAGTCACATAGTGCGGTACATAGAATGATATATTATATATCCTTACTGAATGCCAGCTCAAAACATTTTTAACATTAAGATATAACAATTAGACCCAAATATATATTTGCATTTAAAGCAAGGTTGTGGTTGAAATCGTTGCATTTACAGCAAAGTTATGGTGATTGTTGAAATAAACTTTTATTTTCTTTCTCTTCAAATATTTTTATCATGATGAGTGATGGTCTTAAAATTATTCGATTTCTTTCTCTGCAAATCGTTCAAATATTTTCTTTCTCTTCAAAACATTTAATTAATATTTTGGCTTAAATGTATTTTGAGAATCTTTTTTATAAAATTTTAACGAATTGACTAATGTCATTTAATGAATTTAATGATACGACATAAAATTAGTACTTTCATTTTTTAAATTAAATTTTAAATTTTTTTTTATATTATCTTAGTTTATATATGAAAGAAACTCTAATCTCATTCCCTAATTTCTTCATCTTCTTCCTCAACTATCTGCGAACGATTCGCGAAATTACCATGGAATTTAAAGATCAAGCAAGAACGAAAAGTAAGGAACAAGTGAAATATTGTATGACGTAAGTGGAATTTTTTTTACTGGAATTAGGATTTATGGTTTAATACGCATAACTGTTGCACCCCAAAATTTGCCCAACTTTTTTTCTTTGCCTAGCTTATGTTTCATTGCATTCATTGTAGCATTAGCATATGCATTGCATTGTCATTTGTGTAGGGGATCAAGAGATGTGCCTATCCAGAAGGGGATATCAAAGGTTCTAGGGCTAATCAAGAAGCTATAGTAAAGTTATCTTCCTCAACAAGCCTTCATGAAGAAGTCAAAGCCCTTGGGAAAAGGATGGATGCAAGTGTGCCTACCTCATATCTTGGGGGTCAATGAAGATTATCTGATGATATTGAACCCATGGCTATGGTTGGAATCCATTATGAGAGCTCATTGAGTGCCTTGAGGATTATTGAGGAGCTTATACATGTCATTATATCCAGTACAAGAGGCCACAACCAAAGGTGGTGCAGCTAGGGTTTTCATCTGGTTAACCCTAAGGCAACAGTGAATTGGAAGGAGATTAAGACTCAATTTCAAGGCTTTATGATCATGGAATGTTGTGTTGAGACACCTAAGAGATTATTCCAAGATCAATTCATCAAGATTCAAGAGTGTGAGAAGTTGCTAAGCTAGGGTTTCTAAGCTTGACAGTGTAAAATCTCATAGTTTAGTGTCTAACTTCAAGACCACATAACTCAATATACAAGTCTCATCTCATCTTGACTCCAACATGAGACATGTAGAGCATGTTCATAGCTTTATTTTGAGTACTAGAAGTCCTTGATAGGATTTATAGAACTCAAGTTATGAAGTAGACAAGTTATAAGTCATCAGATGAATGTGATTTTGGTCCATGAAAGTCAACCAACTTCCAAGACATTTTTGACCTAGAAGGAGGTCTCTCCTATTCTTGACCCAAACATGAAAGTTCTTCCTTATGATCTTAGCTTTCTAAAGAGTACTAGAAGTCCTCAATCTGATTTGTGAAGCTCAAGATATGAAGCTTGCAAGGCAGGGGTATTTTGGAAACTTTGATTATAGGTCACTTTTGATTATAGGTCAATTTCACCACTTCGCACATCTCAAATGAAGATCTTTCCAACTTGAAAGTTGTTCAAAATGGGGTCATTTGCTCAACCAAACCTCAAGGAACCATTGATTTGGCTTGGGTTGAAGATTTGATGAAGGAATTTTCATGAAGGAAGCTTTAAAGGTCATTAAAAGACAAAAAATCAAATTAAATCATAATGGACCAATTTTGTACAAACTTGTGCATATTTTGAGTACATTACATGTTCTAAACATAATGGCATTGGTGGATTTGCAAATTGAGGTTCAAAACCATGGCATTATACATGTTTCTTCATCTTGAAGTAACATAATCAAAATCAACCATTGATCCCTTTTCAAGGAAGGAACCTTCACCATTGGATTCTGTGTGACATATGCAAGCTATCTGAAGCAGTTTCAAGTCATGAATGACTCTGTTTTCGTGCATTACATGAAGCTCCAAATGAAGAAAAAGTGAAATTCAATTGGGCTGATTCAGGCCTCCATTGGGCTTATTATCCATCCAAATACATTCTATATAAGTTCATGATCATGTACAACCAAAAAAGAGAGGTTTTTGATCAGAGTTCAGTTGCAAAACCGTTAGAGCAGTTGGAAGCAAATTGAAAATCGTATTCTCTCGTTCTTAAAGATTGAAGCAAGATGAATCATCCAAGAAGCTCTAGGAAGGTTCAGTGAGAGTTTCTGGATCAAAACCATCAAGCTTCAGCAAGTTTTGAAGGTTCTGTGCAAGCTTCTAACCAGGTTTTTACTTTTCAACTTTCCTCACGATCCATGATGATTTAGCATTCAATTCTCATGTGGTTAGGATCCTTGTATGTCGTAAATTGATTCTGGATAGTTTTCATGCTCAATTACAACACTTCTTAATAACACCATAGAACTTGATAGCTTCGGCTAGATTGATTTAGAGGCCTTTGGTAGAAACCATTAGTGTATTCTTGATCCTTGTGGCATGACGAATCGTTTGGTGTAAGAAATTCTGGATTTCATTAAGTTTGGTGAGATGCCATAGTTGCAGGGCAACCGGAGAAGACGACCGGAGCTGTCGTGCTCCGTCGCCTGCAACTCTCCCTTTATTTCCTTTTTAAAAACCTCTGATGACGATGTGTCACGTCCTGAGCCCTTAGATCTTGCTAGGATGCTTGACTTAGACTTGATCTCACGGCCTAAATTAAGTGTTATTTTGTACTGAGTTTCCTTTGATGGCGTGGCAGTGTTTTGTCCCTTGGATGGCTTGACTTGGTTCATATCCAATGGCCGTGATTGGTTCTCAGGGGTTGACTCCCCTTTTAATGAAACGATGTGTTTCATTGGCATTGCATCCCCGCCGTTTGATGCTTGACCAGTCTTGGATCGTGAGGCCAGGGTTTGTCCTTGTTTCTTATTTTTGGGCTGAAGCACACGTGTCTTGGTTGTAGCCGTCTGATGATGGATTGGTAATCACAATGCATGGCTGAGATTGAGTCTTAGTTTTAGTTGTAACACCCTTCTAAACCCCACGGAAAAATATACGAATAATCAGAGTAATATTTCATGCATTCACAAAAAGGCGTCACACATAACTTTTCAAAACATCAAAACAATTGTCATGCTCATTAACACTTATAATAAATAATCATGCTTCTCAGAATTTCACTTTGCATGTAGCAGCGGATTCATTTTATAGCATAATTCTCTTAACAGAATACTCAAATTCATCACATACTTCAACGTTACTTAGGCACTAAGGCCAACATCATAATATTCCAATGAATACAAAAACATAACATAGAGTACATAAAGTATCTCTAAAATATAAACCAGCGATCCCATCGTTACATGACCAGAGCATGACTCGACCTAACATAATTAAATTACTAAACATCTACACCAATAGCGACTTCGCAACTACAAGCAGCTCTACTCTTAATACCTGCACGATATCAGATAGGACATCATTCCAGCAGAAGGGTGAGAAATATTATCATAATAATCAATGCATATAATTATATATATCTACAATCATAGCATACACATATTCCACATTCTCACCACATTCATTAAAATGCACATATACATCACAATGTATATACACAAAACTAAGCATGTTCATCATTCATGCTTCTACAATTCACATCATTTACACATAAACATTTACAATTATGTTTATTCACCAATCACAATCATAATGATGATAAATGCAACTCATAGAGACCGACTCATGACTCTATGCAGATGCAAATGCGGTACCGACTCAATCATCTCAAGTTCACTCAGGAACTTATTGGAACCATCGCTCACACCCCACATGGGCACACGATGTTCACCCATTGCTCACACCCCCACACGGGCACACAATGTTTATGGATTGCTCACACCACACACGGGCACACAACCCGATT